TCTTGAAGCTGACTTAGGCTGAATGAATCACCCACTCTGTATTGTGAAAGCACTTAAGTTATACCTCATCTTTGTTACTGTAATGATTGCATTTCTCTCTTCTGTACTGGGTAGTGATCTCTCTCTAACCCTTGAATAACAAGCACACAGTGCAAAACAGGGCCGATATACTTTGTATTTAGGAACTGATTCAATAATTGAATGAATTGGACTGGATTGGAAAATTCCATGAGAATAAGGTTCATTTCTGTTTTTACTGTCTGTGGTATGCCCAGCTCCTAACACAGTACCTGGCACATGGGAGGGATTTTGTTAAGTGTTTGTGGTATAAACACTGGACGATGGATGATGTAATTCTGAAGTTCATTGAAAGTGACTGGTGGATAGAACTCTGAGAAGACTTTGTGAACAAGTAAGATGCATTTCATAGCAACTTAATCTTGGGTGCAAAAATGTCAATAGATATTCATAACTATTCTAATGTTATATCTCAAACTCTTTGTATCCTCACCCGGTTTCCCTACCCATCCTGCCACTGCCCCATCCCATGTATTACAATCCTTGTATTCATCTTCTTGTTATCATGTGCATACCGCTTGAGCTTTCAACACCATATCTTGTGTCTTTCCTTCTCTCATATTTCTAACCTACAACACAAATGTACTGAGCATTTCCCATGTGCTAAGTAATGGGCAAGTTGCTGCCGATGCAGGTAACAGTACTCATCCACCCCCCACATGCCCCTGGGAGTAAGTTTTCTAGAGGAAGAAATAAGCATGGAAAGAGATCATAAAGTTGGTTAAGGCCCAACACAGAGGGTAAAATGCTATAAGAGTACAGGAGATTTTTAAAAATTTTTAAAATTTAAAATTTTTTAAAATTTTAAAATTTATTTATTTGTCAGGGAGAGAGAGAGAGCATAAGCTGGGGGAACTGCAGGCAGGGGGAGAAAGAGCTCTCCACTGAACAAGGATCCTGATGCAAGATTGGATGCCAAGACCCTGGGTTCAGGAACAGCTGAAGCAGACTCTTAAGCAGCCGAGCCACCCAGACATCCCATGCAGGGGACTTTTTTCACATTTTCCCCGTGTCTAGGGTGTCATTTCCCCAAGTCTCCCCTCCTCCCACATAGCTGGTGATATTCTACTTGCCCTTTAACAATCAGACCCACATCTTCCTCCTCCAGGAAGTTTTTCTAAATGTTTTGTGTTTAATCTTTTCCCTCACTTCCCCACCCCAATATGCGTCTCATCATATTTGTTGAAATTCTGCACTAGACGGCGCCTCTAGGTCAGGAACTATACCATTTCCATTCTTGTGCCCTCCTACAATTCTTTAAAAGTTGTAGGTTTATTGAATGGAAATATCTGTCCTTTTTTAGTCACGACTCCCCCCCCCCGCTCACACCCCATGCTTCAGCACATGATTTATTTCCTCTCAAAGATCTCAGAGTCATTTCTCAGGCTGTTCTTTACCTATATATTGCGGTAGGTTGCCATGGTTACCACTATGTATTAGAAACGTTTATCTCCTGTCGAACTTCTCTCTTTTGAATTCAAAATGAGGAACTGATTGGTCAACTAAGTGGGTGACTTGTTTTCTAGTCAGACAAGTGTTTGCTTCACAGTAGAAATCAACTTACCAGTAATCATTTCTTGCATTTGGAAACATGTTTATTTATTTATTTATTTTTTAATTCTTTGGATATCTAGATTTTTGTTTAAACTTTTTTTTTCCCCTTGATTCCAAAGAAATGATTTTGAAATCTGCAGTATTTATTTTTAGGAATACTTCATTGTGCTTAAAATCATACTGTCTGAGGTATGTGTGCCGAAGGGTCTAGAGATGCAACTGCTTATAAGAATTAGAGTTCATCACACATGATAGGCTAAAGTTAATGGTTATTTATAGGTCACCAATGTCCCAAAGCTACCCCTACCATGCACGTGCACGCTTAGAATGTAAAATATTTCTTTTATATCTTTTTCCAACATGCTATAGGTCTAATAACTTTGAAATGGCTTTTTTGTATGTTTTTTCTTGATACTTCTTTTGGTTAACACTAGTTAATTTAAATTTTTTGAGTGGTCAGCTTTTTCTGAATAGTAGATCAGACCTGAAACTTTTCCATCGATTTTTTGGGAATATTCCTTAATTTGAAATATTTTTTTTTCTAGACAAAGCAGCTCCAAGAAAGACCTGTCCCTGGCCTACCTTTTTATCCTTTGTGGAAAGAAGAGAAAATCTCACAAGAAAGCATACTTACACCATTGACTCACAGGCCCATTGAATACCCTTAAGCATACCCAGATCGAATTTCAAGTTCATGCTCATGGGTTTGGTTAAGAGGAAGAAAAAGAAGAGAGCTAGCAAGAGATCAACACACAGCTATTTTGTACCATTTTCCTTGCTTGCTCTGTTTCTCTGATTGTATTTATCTGTTCATGATAAGTCCATAAGAGTTGACCCTTTGTTTTACTCAATGCTATATTCTCAGAACCTCAGACAGTGGCCTGGTACATGGCTTATGATTCATACTCAAGGGTGAATGAACTAATGAGTGAATGAATGAAAAGGCTTTGAGTTAGAGGTGTTTCTTCATATTTGTAGCACATACTATAAATCCTAAATCAAATGTGTTTAAATAGTTTTCACATAAATGATACTTGATAAGTCAAAGAAATAAGTTTCTTTTAGTATATTCTTAAGAAGTGCTGTTGACAAGGGCAGTAGTAATTTTTAACTTCTTATCCGGAACAGTATGCTTTTCCAGTTTATCATGAATTGTGGGAATCCACCTCGTCTAAGTGATAGAGACGTAGCACACTGCTAACACTGGGGCTGGCCTGGGTGCGGCATATATGCAGGGCCACAGGATAGGGTACGGAGACAGTGTCAGGTGGATTTAAAACAAGGGCCTCAAAACAGGTAGATCTAGATTTAAATTTTAGCTCTGACACTACCTAGCTCTATGACACTGGGAATCCCTTAACCTTTCTAGGCCTTTATACCCTTGTCTATAAAATGGACATAAAAGCATTCCAGACTTGCTAAGGTTGGAATAAAGGTCAGATGGGATAATGGAGTGCATGTAAATACATGTACCCATGCAATTTTTCCAGCCCAAGGAGAGGTGTTCATTCTTAGTTAAGAAGCTAGTGTAAAACCTTTGTTCATCTGTCTGGAAAACTGAGTTTTAGCTTTGCTCTGTGTTATCTAGAATACCTCTTTATCTGTCTGTCTCATTATTTTTTTTACCTGCAGAACTAGAGCGTATTTAGTCTGATCTGTCTACTTCATGGGGATTTAAGAACAGCTAAGCTAACAAATGAGAGAAGAAAATACCTTTGAACTGTTTAAATGAAAGGTGCCACAAAAATCAAATAGAGTTCTATAGATAGTCTAAACTCAATTTAAACCAAATCTGACATAAATTCATTATAAGAGTACAGGTCTCTGTGGCCTTATACTTTGTGATAACCTAAGAGGATTGAAATATTTTGCTGATGTGACAAGTGTCTAGAAACACTGCTTATCAAAACAGGATAAATTGCATTCAGAAAATAACTGAGCATATAACAGCTTCCTCTTGATGATCATCTCCATGAATCAAAAGTGTAGGATATTCTTAAAAGACATAGTTCCTATGACAAAGGATTGCAAAATATGCCACTCAGTGTAACTGTCATATTTCAAAACACATGCTCCAGGAATTGAAGTAAGAAAACCTTCCATATTCAAGAATCAGAGTTACATATGTAGATACAGTAAATCTAAAGTACAAGTCAATAATAACCTTCCTGAATTTTCGAGATCTAAAGGACCTTGGGCATAACCCAGTTCATTTTTGTCACAGATTAATTAATGATTTTTTTTTAAAGAAAAAAGTTTTTCTAAAAGCAAATGTTCCACATGTAATTTTTTGACAGTTGATGTATTTTTTTCTTTGAGAGAAAAAACAACAACAACAAATAAAACAATATAAGCCAATTAGTGAGGCTCAGAGAGCCAGAACAGGATCCCAGTTATGTTGAGTAAGGTATTTCAATCTCAAAATTTTACAAATCAGTAGAAGTATATAAAAGCATAATTTGGAGTAGAAATAAATAACTCTTGATAAGACTTATAAAATATCTTTTCATTTTAGATTCTGAAGTCTCTAATATTTAATTGTAAAAAGTAAATGGGATAAGTAGAAGGAAATGCCAAAAATGTTTGTCAGTGACCAATAGAGAGATTCAACAGAGCCATCAAGGATGCTGAAACCAGGGGTGCCTGGGTGGCTCACTAGGTTAAGTGGCTGCCTTTGGCTCAGGTCAAGATCCCAGGGTCCTGGAATTGAGCTCTTTGTCTGGCTGGCTCCCTGTTCAGTGGGGAGTCTGCTTCTCCCTCTGCCCCTCCCCCTGTTTGTACTCTCTTTCTCTCTCTCTCAAATAAATAAATAAAACCTTAATAAAAAGTAAAGAGAGAAAAAAAAATAAAACAAAACAAAACAACAACAACAAACACTGAAATCAGGCACCTAACATGAGACCTCAATTGTCAGAGTGGCTGGCTTCCCAAATTAATATAATCACTAAACAAATGTGGAAAAATGAAAAATAAGCATTTCTTAAATGGCAACACATGAACTTCCTTAAGATGCCTTAGTTGTTTTCCAAAACTTTAACCTTGTTCAACAATTTTTTTTTAATCTTGTTTAACTATTAACACGGATTTCCAAAATTCAAATACAGGATCCTGAGACAGGAAGCTTGTACTTTAGAATCCGTATTTCAGTTAGAAGTCCTATTTTCCTTTTGTAGAAAGTATAATGAAACTTCATATTTATTCTTTGCAGAAACATCATCAAAAACTCAACCAAAATAGTTTGTAAAAGATACAGCCGGCATAGATATTTGTATGTTCTGTGCAAAATTAGCTGTGTGTGTGTATATGCATTTGTATGTTTTCTGTGCATGTATTTAAATGTTGAACATCTTTTCTTTTACTTCTTCTAGGGCTGTCAGAAAATACAGAACTTTAATAATGTGGTAGCTGAAGGCCTGAACTTGAGTTTTCTCATCGCCTTGGTTTCGAACAATGGAGATTACACATGTGTTGTTACATATCCAGAAAATGGGCGTACCTTCCATCTCACTAGGACTCTGACTGTAAAGGTGGTAGGTAAGCATGATTTTTAAGTGCACACAACAAAAATGCAATAACTCTATTTTGGCTCTTGATAGTTTATTACAAACAACTGTGTCCGTTCTATGAGGGAAGAGGTTTATCTCTTTTTGTTCCCTGCACTATCCCTAGAGCCACAGCAATTCCGCATACAGAGTAGGAATTCCATAACTGTTGTTCTACTGAATGAATGAGGATGTGAATGAATGAAGGCAGTTTGGGGAATGAAAAGAGTGCCAGAGGAATCTGTATTCGGCTTGTATTCTTGCCATTTATCTTATTTATTTATTTGATAGAGAGAGAGAGATCACAAGTAGGCAGAGAGGCAGGCAGAGAGAGGGGGGAAGCAGGCTCCCTGCTCAGGGCTCGATCCCAGGACCCTGTGATCATGACCTGAGCCAAAGGCAGAGGCTTAACACACTAAGCCACCCAGGTGCCCCTACCCTTGCCATTTATAAGCAATATGACTTTGATCAGGGTCTGAGTCTCCTTATTTGTACTCTGGGACTAAGAGTACCTAACAATCAGTATAGCTGAGAATATTAGAAATCATATACATATTATGCGAGTCCAATTCCAGGCAAACAGCAGAGACTCAATGAATTAAGTAGTTAAAATTATTGTAAAAAAAAAAAGTGTTGTATTTGAATTCAATCAACTCTTTCTGTAGACTGGAATTGGGGTAGCCGAAACTGTTTGCTGGTGGTATTCAATCATTGCTTTGCACTGGTTGAGAGAACAGGGGATGAGAAATTCAGAAAGTGGAAAGACAATGTCCAGACAGAGTCAAAAGACTCCTATCAAACCCAGAAATCGAGAGAACCAGTGTCAGCATTTAGGGGAGAGCCCTCAATACCATTGCGCCCATGATACTAAAAATGAGAGCGTATCAGAGTGAGAATTTTTTACACCCCATCTTTTCATAGATGGAAGTGTCAAGACCCAATAACACAAAGTAACCTGTTAGAGATGCTCTGTGAGTTAGTGTAAGAAGTGGTTTCCAGATCTCAGGTTTGAGATTCTGGTGCAGGGCTTGCTCTATTACCCTGACACCAGGTTCAGCATAATTTTTAAGGGTTCTAACATAATAGGGCAAATAAAATTCAAATTGAAAAATTTTGTGATCACCCCTCCTCTTCCTCTGCCTACTTTTGGAATAATGCTGAGCTGGGAATTAATTCAGAAGAAAAATTAGACTAAGTTTAGAATTTAACACAAATGGGCTTTGTAAGCCAAATGAATAACCTAACCTTAAAATCTGTCTTGGCAATTGTTTCTGATACAGATACTTAAACACATCTGTTTTGGGGAAATTGAGAACAGGCATCCTTGCTCACCGTGATTTATAGATAGAGAAGTTGATAGACACTGATGTGTGGTAGGGTTCTAATCCAACTTTCAAGCAACACAAGTTTGTTTTTAAAGCTGTGAAGTACTGAGTGCTTACTATATACCAGTAGGATGCTTTAACATGCATTACTTAATTTAATATGCATGACTTACTTTAATCTTTCTAATGAACCTGTGCAGTGAGTTTAATTATCCTCATTTAAGACGTGAGGAAAATTAGCTTCTCAAAGATTAAGCAAAAAACCAGAGTTCTATGGCTAGTATATGGCCAAGTAAGGATAAGAGCCCTGGTTGTTAAATATTTGAAGCTTCTGTTCTTAAACACTACACTATAAAACCCCTTCAGGGTATTTTTTTTTCAATTTGGAAATACAGAATGTTATAAAGAGCAGCCGTCCTATAAACAAGCAGTCAACTGCCAGAGGCATTGGATAGATGGATGGGCTGGCCTCAAAATTGTGGTTTTGAATTTTCCATTTACTTATTCATTCATTTAATATTTACTTCTTTAACCAGGTCCTATACTAGATACCTGGGGCATGTTCTGGAGAAATATTTAGAAAAGAAACAATTGAGGAAGACATGAAAACGATTTATATTAAAATCTGAGAAGGGTATTTCATGTACTCTTTGGGAAGCAAAAACACAGGTTGAATCTCTATCCAAAAACATGGAGGCCACTTTTCATGTTCTGTTTGTCTCTTTGCTTGTCTGAAATGAATGAAGTGTTGTAAATGACTCTCCATTGAGCTGTGGGCCTTTGCAGGAAGAATTGACAAACTGTGCCAGGAAGTTGGGCAAACTACAAAAGAACTGCTCTTGGAAACGAGTTATGAGAGATGAGGGCTACATGATTTAACATCATCTCTCTTTTGTTTCTTCCTCCCTAAAACAGGCTCTCCAAAAGATGCATTGCCTCCTCAGATCTATTCACCCAATGATCTTGTGGTCTACGAGAAAGAACCGGGTAATTATAGCTGTGCCTCTTAATTTCAGTTAGATTCTCTTAATGACAAGGAAGAAAATGTCAGTTAAGTTAATGCATGCAAATAGAGGGCTTTGTAAGGAAACACATGAATTGAAACTGAAATGTTGTCAGAAACCAAGGCAGCTCTGGAGATTAGCTCCTCCATCAGAGATCTCTCAGGCATCTTTAGGATTCTCAGCTTCTCTCTCCACAGCTACTCCCTTCTTCCCCTGACTTCTCTCTCCTGATTAGTGATTTCTGTCTGATGTAGAGGTTAGCTTGCACACAGCTTGGTTTTCCAAGGCTGTGATGTGAGCACAAGATATCCTTTAAGCTTTTCTTCACTGCAGAGGGGCAAGAGTTGGAGCTTGGAGGTGAGACTGTGAGTTTAATGGGTTAACAGCTGGTAGAACTAATATACCCTGATTAGAACGCTATGCGGTGTTCCCTATGGCTATCTGGGCCTCCTTTAAAAAAGGAGGTTTTTTAAGTTTTCATAATTTTCCATTCTAGACAAAAATCATTTGCAACTGACCGAATAAGCCATCGTGTGTTATTCTTCTGGCTCAAAACCTCCCACAGTTAAACTGAAAACCATAGAAAATTTTACAATTTTCTATATTGTATCCTTTACAATAAACTCTCTCCAAACCCAATGAAAGGTGTAAAAGAACATATTTTTAAAAATGTACTAAAGATAACAGAGGTTGTGATCAAATGCAGGTAGAACACAATGATACCCTCCTAAAACTAAGATAAGGCTTCAAATAGCAATCTGCCTGTAAAAAAAAAGAACCAAAGGGGTCTGCCAACTCCAAATGGACCAAATTTCCTACAATTCATAGTGGTTTTATATAGTAAAGTGAACATTCTTCCTGCTATCCAGGTAAACCCTTACTAATGATCTAGTCTACCTGTCATATGGTTACAGACTCTATGTTCATGTTATCTTCTTGCATATCAATATAGAAACTGAAAGGGAAAACATAAGAATCATGCCATTAGAAGAGGGCGTTCGGTAGGACCACTCAGTGAGACAAACTTACTTTCAAATTTGGATGACAATATAATTTGTCATCTCAACCTGCACACTTTTTGAGAGTAAAAGCAATTGTTATCAAGAACTAACTAAGAAAGCAAGCATAGAACAGAGCTGTCCTGGGTAACCTGCAATGGAAGTCAGTCTCGGTCGAACTCTGCTCTGCCTCTTATTAACAGTTTCATCTAGGGAGAGCAGCTAACATCTTGAAGCGTCAGTTTTCACATCTATAAAACATGAATTAAAAAAATACCCCATGATATTTTGTTAAAATTGTATAAGACTGCTAGTAAGTATAAACACAGCGCCATGAGTATATAAAGTTCTTAGTGAGGGTGCTGCTGCTTTTCTTCTTATTATCATTTTCTGCCTGGAGATCCTCCTGACCTCATGTTCCATCTCAGGAAGATAACATAGATTTGTTATTTATAAATGCTAGTATTTATAAAGATGTCAATTTTTGTTATATATGTATATACACACACACATGTTTTTATGTAAATTGTCTTTAAACTTATTGATCGCATCCTGACAACCTAAGCATTTCAAGATGTGGCCTTCCCCTAAGTGTTGGCACTGCCCCATCTTTTCTGGGCCAAGCACCAAAGGTCTGGAGAATCTCTCCTTAGTCACTGCTCGTGAGGGAAATAACAAAGGTTAGGGGTAGTCCATGGAAGTTTCGGGCTAAAAAGGATATTGTCAGAGCCTCTTTGAACAAATACTGTGGTACAGCGTATATGGATTGTATAAAAAAGATGGCCATTCTGGAAAGTTTGCATAAAACTGCTGTATTTCTTTTTCTTGGTTTGTTTATTTTGCAATGAGGTATGGTACGGTACGATAGTAGGCCACTTGAAACTTACTCAGAAGTAGAGCTTTAAGTACACTTTTATAGCTTCTGATTAGTCACAGAGTGAAACCAGTGTAGCTTTGTGAAGGTTACACACTGATGGGCTAACTTGTTTTTTTAGGAGAGGAACTACTCATCCCCTGTACAGTCTATTTTACTTTCCTGAAGGATGCTCGCAATGAGGTTTGGTGGACCATTGATGGAAAAAAGCCAGATGACACCAACATTGATGTAACTGTTAATGAAAGGTACCATTGGCTCAGACAAGGGGTGATCAATGCTTGTCCCTCAATTGAATGCCTTCTGGTATATACTGATCATTGAAAGTCAAAACTCTGACTTTGGTGCATCATTACCCAAAATCTGCAAGATTCTCAAATCTTTAGTGGCCACATCCCAAAGTAGGATCCCTGGACTTGCAATTCAAGACCCAGGTATCTTCCGATGGTCACACACTCATGATTCCCACTTGAAAGTAGATGGGATGCAGGATGCCTGGGTGGCTCAGTCGTTAAGTGTTTGCCTTGGGCTCAGGTCATGATCCCAGGGTCCTGGGATGGAGCCCTGCATTGGGCTCCCTGCTCAGTGGGGAGTCTGCTTCTCCCTCTCACACTCCCCCTGCTTGTGTTCCCTCTCTCGTTCCCTCTCTCACTGTATCTCTCTCTGTCAAATAAATAAATAAAATCTTAAAAAAAAAAAAAAGTAGATGGGATGCATAGCCCACACGAATGAGAGGCCACAATCCACGGCTCTGAATACATGAAAGCTGGTTGGCGTGGCCTGTTCTTTTCTCTCTCCAGTCTGGAGTCTAGACCTCTGTATTTATGCCTCAGATAAATTGTGTTATTTATCTTGTCTTGCTGTCTTCCTCCTCATTCTTAACTCACATAATATGTCACGTTTATAATTGATAGTTATTTTTTTTAAATATTGACTAAATACATTCATGTTCTTTAAATTTTATTTTTTTTGAAGTGGATGAGGTGGTAATATAGCCCACTCTTAAAATAACAAGCTGGCTCATTTTATTTCTAAATAAATGTAACTTTTTTTTGAAGGGTGTGAGGTCGACAAGGAGGAAAATATGGGTCTTTGAAGATAAAAGATCCTTTTGTAAATGAAGTACACAACTGCAAGACAGTTGGTTCACGGCGATCGTAAATAAAAAGCAGCAGCCGACCAGCTACATGACAAAGTCGTTCTAAGACGGGAGCCTTAACATGATATACAAATGGATCTTTAGCTACTTGAACTTCAAAAGCTACATGACAAAGTCGTTCTAAGACGGGAGCCTTAACATGATATACAAATGGATCTTTAGCTACTTGAACTTCAAAAGCTAGGGATTCAAAAGCTAGGTCATTCCTCGTAGTAAACTCAGACTTTGTGCAGAAGTTATAAGATGTCTGCTTGACACTAAGTGCTATGCAAGATACTTCGTCCCTAACTGAGTAGATTTTATCAGGGTAAGAGTGATAGAGCAGAAATTTCAATATTTCATGATAAATGCAGTGATTGGAGAATATTAGATGTTATTGGAAGCTTGAGTTGAAGATTCCCGTCAGTGTTAGGGAATTAGGCAGTGCTTCTCAGATGGTACAGTACCTAAATAAAGATTTGAAGGATGAGTAGAAATAAACTAGGTAAAGAAATAGAATGTTCCTGGTTAAAGGAACCTCATCTGCGATGGCTGGAATTTAGAGAAGCAGCACATATTTAAAGGTACAGAAGGAGCCTCCTGAAACTGGAGCAGTTTTTGCAGAAGGAATAGATTAAAGATGTGGCTGGAGGCACAAAGGGAGAGTTATTGATCCCTTCAGGATTTCTGAATATTGTGGTTCCTATCCTCATAATAACACCGAATGAATGATAATGAAAGTCATGCTGTCCGTCCTCATTGCTGCTGCAACACAGCTCAGTGCCCGGAGTGGATGGTGAATTTCAGTTAAGGCTAAACCCATCACAACCCTTGACCAAGTTCTCATGACCAACAGTCTGCCTCACTGGAAGGAGTACCTGGATGTCAGCTATAGGAGAGAGATTTTGTTTTCTCTTTGGAGCAAGTAGTTCCAAGGGATTTTAAATCTTGGTCTTGGACCCAAAGCACTTGATCTCTGACATGCTGAGATTTGGATATATTTTCATAAAATGTACTTGCTTCGAGAAGTCTCTTCTTTTTATATGTTAGGATTTAACCCATGGAGTTTCATCCTTTTTATTTTCTACTCTCTTTTCTCTTTTCTATTCTTTATTTGTATTCTATCTATGTTCAAAATCCAAGCTTTGGGAATCCCTGAAATGAATGAACTATTGCTGAGGGTGGTATTAATAGCCTATATGAATATGTATTAAGCATTTTTCTAATACTTACACATTGATGTACTCAGTCTTCAGAGTGCTTGAGTGAATCAACACATGTGACGTACTGCGTAGGCATTGCTACTTACCTCTCTTTCAAAGGAGGAACTCAAGACTTGGAAAGATTAGTTACTGTACCAAAAGTATATAGCCAGTAAGTGGCAAAGCTTGGATGAAAACCCAGGTGGATATGGCCTAGAAGCATCTCTCTACACTGATACAGAATACTGTCTCAGAAGTTTGAGGGAAGGAGACATTTTACTCTGAAGAGAGATCTGCCGTATGTTGCCAGCACTGGGATTTGATCTAGATACTGGGATTGTGTGTGCTATAGCAGGTAAAGAATGGCACTGGAATCTAGAAGCTATCCTCCCTTTGTAACCATTGGCTCTCAGGCAACACAGCTCATGGATGTTCTGGCTGTCCTCACTTGGGGGCCCTGTGGTTGTCTCCTTATCTAATTCATTCCCAGAACATGGCCCTGTGGTATCACTCATGCTTTGATTTTCTTTCCCCTATTTCTAGTATAAGTTTGACCCCAACCGAAGATGAAACGAGGACTCAGATTTTGAACATCAAAAAAGTTACTGCTGAGGATCTCAAGCGCAACTATGTCTGTCATGCTAGAAATGCCAAAGGGGAGGTTGACAAAGCAGCCAAGGTGAAACAGAAAGGTAATGGATGCCCTCAGCAGATGATTCTGTGAACTCCAAGTATAACAGTGTGGTGATAAGGAAAATAAGAAGACAGTGCTCCGGCAGCTAGCACATCTGGCACATAGTAATGAATCAAAGGTGAATTGAAAAAATCTTGAGGGATAGTTTCCATCTATGTGAAGACACTCGAAATATTTTTCTTATACTTTTAGTAACTTAGTGCAAAAATGTGGCCCAAAGGGATGCCTGGGTGGCTCAGTTGGTTGGACGACTGCCTTCGGCTCAGGTCATGATCCCGGAGTCCCAGGATCGAGTCCCTCATCGGGCTCCCAGCTCCATGGGGAGTCCGCTTCTCCCTCTGACCTTCTCCTCGCTCATGCTCTCTCTCACTGCCTCTCTCTCAAATAAATAAATAAAATCTTAAAAAAAAAATGTGGCCCAAAAAAGCCATACGATTATGAAAATAAGGCATAATTTTATTTCAGTACAGTCATGGAAAATGAAAAATAAAGAAAATATTTAAAGCTACCAAAGATATAATAAAGCTGGTAGAATCCCATATAATTGGTGGATTGTAAAGACCCTTTTAGAAATCACTGATGGCAGAGTTTGAGGGTCATAAAAATGACCATACCATATGGCTTAGTACTTTTGGAATTTTTCCTGAACAAATAACAGAAAGAGAATTATGTACCCATTGCTATTCTTAGAAGCATTATCTTTAATAATGAAACATTATAAATAGCAACCATCTAATTATTTTCAAGTAGTTAAGGAAAATATGAAATATTTCTTCTCAAAAATATAGTTTTAAAATGATCATTTTAAATACTATGTATCAGTTTTCAAACAGATTTATAACATACCACTAGCCACAATTACTAATACGAACATTATTTAAACTGTGACTTAAAGTAATGTAAAAGGATTTCTATGTTGATATTACTAATTTTTTTATAAAATAAATAAAAGTGATAAAGCTCTCTTGTGTGAGCTGTTGCTACTGAAACAGACTGTGTCTAAAATTATCTTTGGGTCTCTCACCTAACACAGAACCCCAGACAATCACTCCCTTCAAGAATGTGTTTCAGTGACCTAGAGAAAGATAATGATGATTTATCACACAGGTAGTCATGTCATTCAGAATCATTGTGGATCCTTGTGTCAGAGAGAGCCTGTAATATTTATACCCAAAAAAAAAAAAAAAAAAAACCAACCAAACAAACAAACAAAACTCATAGCTATTACATTTTGCAGTGGGGGGGATTTAACCCCCCCTTTTTTTTAAAGCTGATGCAAAAACAGGCTTCATTTTAACATTTCATTACAATTTAGAAAGTAAAAAGCAAATTACTGAAGTCTATATGCCACTTAAGAAGTCTTAGTGGATTGGTTCTGAAGAGTTCATCACTTCTGCCCCTCAGAAGCCAGTGTCAAGCAGTGAGACTCAACCAAATAAAATAAGGAAGTTTCCCAAATTAGTTCCTAAGAACACTACTAGGACTCTTTATAGTACTGTAGTTCATTATTTTTACTCTAGACTCAGATGGCCTGTGTTGGAATCCTGGTTTCTGTGCATCCTAGCTCTGTGATCTTGAAAAAAATCACTTAACCTCTCTGAGCTTCAAGTTCTTTATATTTAAAGTAGGCAAATGATACCACTATCTCATGAGATTGTTTTAAGGTACTCAGCACAATTACTGTCCTATATACATGTATATTAAGTGCTCAACATATATTAAGTCTACTTATTATTTCCACAAAATTTTCACAGGTGTTATTGGACAAAAGCTTTTACAATAAATAAAGTATCATTAAAGGCTAGGTTAAACAAAACCAATCAAGTTATTTTAGTCAAGGGCCCCTTGGAGTCTTTCACACTATTAACAGTTGGTGTGAATATCTGAGTGGAACTGGAACAAAGGAGGCAGGGTGGTTTTATTTTCCAAATATATTTGATTCCTGAAGTATGGGGCATTTCGTGGGAGTCGTTTTTTGAAACATGTGTTCTGGGAAACAATTATGGAGGATGACATAAATTAATTACTTATTGTCAGATAGATAGGATTAAACAATCAACTAAAATCGTGTTTGTTCTTGGAGTGATGCAGAAGTCTGCCTGCCGGAGCTATGTGAGTAGCTCCCTTTCACACAGGGCCATGCTCTGAACGGTTGAGTGTGAATGGCGTCAGGAATGTGAAATCATAGGTGCATCCACTGGATTGGCTGATCTCTGCTAAAATTACATCAGTATTATGTAGAATCTAGCCTGGGCTGTGTACATCCTGTGGTACCAGAAGTGTTGTGGGTTTTTACTTGGCTCCTTTTCTGGGCCAGGTAATGCTGGGATTCAAAGGTGATAATCTGGGTTCACTTTCGTATGTTCTATGTATGAGTGCTTCTCTGGATTCATTGACAAAGCATTCTACGTCTTTCATCAAAAAATTGACAGGAAGGGCTCAGAATAAGAAGAATTTACTGGGCTAGTTCTTTGGACAGAGCAATTTCATCTAGTCAGTTAAAGTATGAAAGGAGAGCCAGCTAATGTAAATGTGTTAAACATGCGGTGATTTTATAATAGGAGAGAGGTAGGGACTAAGGCAAGGTGTGTTGAACTTCATGAGAAACTGCCAAACCTATTTCCAAAGAGGTTGTACCATTTTCTACTTCCTCTAGCAATGTATATAAATTCCAGTGCTCTACATCCTTACCAACTTTTGGAGTTGTCAGACTTTTCAATTTTAGCCATTGTAGTAAATGGGTACTAGTATCACGCTATATTTTTTTCATTTGCATTTTCAGATACTAATGATGTTAAGTACTGTTTTATGGACATTCTGACAATTAATAGTTCTTCCTTTATGGAGTATCTATTAAAATCTTCATCCCATTTTGTTCTTGGGTTGCTTGTTAATATATATATGTCAGATATATGACTTTGTGAACATTTTCACCATTGTACAGAATTTTATTTTATTTTTTTATTTTATTATTATTTTATTTCGATGAGCAGAATTTTAAAACATTGATGAAGTCCATTTTATCAATTCTTCTATTATGGTTTATACTTTCTAAATCCTGTATTAGCAATCTTTGGTTTTTAAAAATGATTTTTAAAATCTTGATTTTTTTTTTAATACTTAGGCCTATGATTCATTTCAGCATTTTTGTTTACACTGTGAAGTATGGATTGAGGTTTAGTTTTTTGCTTTATTTTTGTTTTCCACATAGAAATCAGTTATTCTAACCTCATATTGAAAAATCTCTCCCTTTTTTATTGAATTGTTTTGACAGCTTAGCCTAAAAAATTAACTCTATGAGTGTGGGTCTATTTCTCCATTCCCTATTCTGTTTGTCATTAGTCCAATACCACTTTATCTTAACTAATAGCTTTAAAGTAAGTCATGAAGTCAGAAACTATTGTCTTCCTCCTTTTTTCTTTTCAAAGATTAATCAAAATATTCTGAAGACCATATTATCCTTTCATATAGAAAGGATAATATTGTATTGGCTTGTCAATTTCTACATGAGTCTGCTGGGCTTAGATTGGAACATATTAAATTTATAAACCAATTTGAGGAGAATTGAAATCTTAATGATATTGAATTTTCCAATCCATGAACATGATATATCTCTCAATTTACTTAATTTTCATTGATTTTTCTCAGCTCCTTTTTTTTTCTAGTTTTATTTATACAGGCTTACACATGTTAAATTTATCCCTAAGTATTTTGTTTTTGTTGCTATTGTAATGGTATTTTTAAAATTCCACTTTTCAATTGCTCATTGATCATAACTAGAAATGAATTAGTTGATTTTTATGTTTTGATCTTGGTCTTTTGACTTTTCTAAATTCATTGCTTAAATAGGGTTTCTGCTTGTTTAGTTAGGTTCCTTAGCATTTTCTATACACTTGATTGTGTCACCCATATATAAGCATACTTTTCCTCCTTCCTTTTCAAACGTTATGCCTTTGATTTCTTTTTTCCGCCTCTTTTACTCTCTTGGACCTCCCAGTTCCATGATCAGTAGAAATCAGAGCAGCTTCACTTGCATTGTTCCCTATCTTAGAAGATATGCATTCAGTTTTTATATATTAAATATGATGTTAATTATAGGTTTTTTGAAGCTGACTTTTATCTATATGAGAGATTAATCTATTTTTGGTTTGTGTAGAGAATTATATATAATTCTCGTGTGTGTGTGTGTGTGTGTGTATGAGTATCTGTTGAAATTTATCAAATGTTTGGTGTGGTTTCATTTGACTATATCTTACTTAGGGTTCTTTAAACTTCTTGGTTCCATGGGTTTATTATATTTTTCATTTAGTTTGAAAAAAACTTCAGCAGTTACTTCTTCAGATATGTTTTGCTCATTTATTCATTCATTCATTCTTTCCTTTTCTTCTAGTAGTACCATTAAATTTAGTATCGATCACTCAGGGATGTTCTGCAGGCCACTGAGGTGCTCATTTTCATTTCATTCTTTCTTCCTGTGTTTCAGTTTAGGTAGTTTCTAGTTTTCCACTAATAATTTCTTTTTTGATGTTTAGTCTGCAGCAATTTTAATTTCAGAATTGTATTTTTCAGTTTTTGGATTTCCATTTCGCCACAAAAACATCCCTATTGATATTTCCTATTTGCTCTTAATGATGTCCATTGTCTTCTTTTTTAATTTAACAGGAGTATTTATAATGCTCATTTTAAAGTGCTTATCTGCTAATTCCATCATCTTTGTCAATTTTGATTTTTTTTTAAAGATTGATTTATTTATTAGAGAGAGAGCATGCAAGCAGGGTGGGGAGGGGCAGAAGAGAGAGAGAGAATCTTAGGCAGACTCACTACTGAGAGCAGAACCCAAGGTGGGGCTCCACTTAGGTCCCTGAGATCGTGATCTGAGTCAAAGCCAAGAGTCAGACACTTAGCTGATAGAGCTGTCCAGGTGCCCCTCTGATTCTGTTTTTGTTGGCTGATTTTTCTTCTCATTATGGGTGGTTTTTTTGTTTTGTTTTGTATTTTTGCTTTTTCTTGTCTTTTTTTTTTTTTTAACATATGCTGGACATTATGTATGTTGCATTATTGAGTGTCTGATTTTTGAAAGTGAGTATTGTTTTGTTCTTACAGGTAGTTATTTTGATTGCTTAACAGCTTGCTTTTTTGAGGTGTTTTGCTTCCCATTGCTAGAGGACATCTGAAAAATAGCCTTTTCTCCAAGGCTAGATTGGACATATCTAGACTATCTGGGCTGTCTACTAACACATGGGAGCTACCCAAAGTGTCTTTACTCTGGTCTTAGCTCAAGTGTCCCCCAGCCCTGCATGTGCACCTTGAGTTGTTCAGCTCCCGGTTTCCTGACAGCTGTTCCTCCCCGGTAGTTTTTCTTTGACTGGCACCTGTTCTTTGCTTGATCTTATCAAGTGTCATCCGACCTATGCAGAACTTTATATTTTTCCAAAGATTTGAGATCACCCTTGGAGATTTATAGAGCACTTTTTCCACACAATGTTCTTCCCTCTCTACCCAGCCCTGTAAACTCAGCCCAACTCCATCTGAGGTGTGATTTCTGAGTCCTTACCTGACCATAATGACTGTACCTGTGGTTTTCCCTGTTCTGTGCCACAGTCTGAAAGTGACTTCAGGCAAAAAACCAGGGTGATGGTGGGGCTCAACGTTTTGGTGTCCTTTCTCACACGGATCACACACAGAACAACTACCAGTGGTCCACCTTAGGAAAAGGGCCACTGTAAATACTACGGAGAGAAAGCCACTCCCGTATCCATTCCTTCTCTAAGGCCGGAAACTGAAGGGTAAAATGCACACATTTTAAAATACTATGATAGTCAAACCAAGCAGGTCTGCTGGTTAATTCAGGGATAGGTCTCTGGTTTACCATCATCTAAATAAAGCATTCTAATTGTTTGTAATTCAGAGAAATGGTCATTACGTGGTTCCCCAAATTAAAAGTCTCAGCAATTTAGTGAAGAATAGACACAGGTTCTGTGGCAGGAGATACTTGGAAGTCCAAGCAGCTGGTGTCAAGCTCAGAGCCCCAGTGGACAGCAAGGTCCCAACTCATGAAGAGAAAGAAAATAAGTTAGGTTCCCAAGGAGAAAGAAGACTGGAGACCGGTAACTTGAAACAGGGAAAAAGACTGGAGCTAAAGTCCTGGACTGGTTTAACTCAGGGTGGTTAGCTGGAAACGTGGACCTTGGTACCTGTTACTACCGTTGAACTGCAAAAGGAGTGGAGGAAATCCTTATCCAGGGAATAACAGCAGAGCAAGTGGCAAAAATTGGCTCTACCCTAAGTCAATTATATGTGAGATCGAAGAGTGAAGCAGTTTAGGAGTGCAATTTGGTCAAATTGCATCACCCCTTCCTGATTGGAAACCTTTTGGTTTGGGATTGCATCAGAGTAAAATCTGTATGCCAAAACAACAGAGGTTCCGGCTGGGGCAGACAGAAAATGTGGGCTGAGCGTCATCCTTTCCCTGCAAGCCAGCAAAGCTTTATATGAAAGCTTTTTTGAACATTTTCTGCATGTGAATCAAGCCATTCAGAAATTCAGGCTTGTGGATTATTTATCTCAAGAGTTCAATTAGTTAAACAGTATTAGGAACTTCTGGATATCATCAAGATGGCCCCCACAAAATACAATCTGTAAATATGACACATGTCATGAAATGACCCAAAACCAAAGTAAAAATCCGCACTAAAAATAAAATAGGCAGTAGTAAAATGAATGTTACAGAGGGAAATTTATGAGAGTAATTGATCTTTTGATCATTAGGCAAGATATCTATTGATATTTTTTCTTATATCCATTATAGGTAAGTGCATCCGCCAACCTCTTTTTTCCCCCCTCCCTATTACAAAATGTCCAGCCAGAAGGAGCCAAATTACCTGAGCAAATAATGAAGATGACAGTGGGAACTACCCCAGGTTACTGTTAACATAACATGTGCTCAGAAATACCGAGGACGCAGCAGTTTTCATGCCAGCTACCCAAACTGATCTTACTAAATTCTCAGCAATTGCCCTGAGATAGCTTGGACATTCGGTGGTGGAGTTTTCTTATTTTAAACACCATTATTCATGGAATGAGCATGAGAATACCTGGTAATAATTCCGCATTGCGGAGTTCCAGGCTATCTCTGAGATAGGATTAGCGTCGGAGTTGAGGATAATGAACTTGAAACTCTAGGGACTTCAGGCTCAGCTCCAGACTGCTTACCATTTTCCCCTTAGGATACATACCTGTTTTAAAAGGGATTTTTTTCCACTAGTATTTGATCTATAATTAAACTCCATGGCAGAGCTCTGCAAAGATCTCTGGACTTTGGAGTCCGAGAGCAGGGAAAACAATCCCAGCTTTGAACTAAATTCCTCTGTGCCTCACCTTGGTAACCACTTAACACAATGCTCAGGTGATCAAAAAGCCTTTTCTCATTACCTGAACCCATCCATATACCTCTTCTGCCCCAGCCCAGCCTCTCAGTACTCCCCATCATATTACCTTGCTTTATTTCCTTTATAGCATTGATCACTACCTAGCATTCGTTGTCCTATTATTTATTTCCTTGCATTAGAATATTAACCCTAACTGGGCAGAAATCCCTTTGGTCTGATCTACTCTTGTATCCCCAACAGCTTCTGGCAAATAATAGATGTTAATAAGTAATTGTCAATAACTATTACATAATTTAAGCCACTCCTGCTTCATACCCAAATATTCTCTTCCTTCTTCAAACACTTAGACTTCATTATCACAAGCTAATAAAGCAACCAAATGAAGTTGTTGATACATAGTAGTACGAGATTTATTTTCAATGTTTCTGAAGTAGATGGCATTGTATCTGGAAACATTCATTGAGATCCTACATATTCTAGTGGTAGGATAGATGAAGGAGACATAGGCTTCCCTAGAAGACTATAAATTACAGTTTAGTAAGGAATGAGAATGGAGCAGTAGGCTTGTAGACAAATTACAATATAAAACAAATAGTGTATAATAGAATTATAGACAATGAGAAGAGTAGGAATTTCTGTCAGGCAGATGTCAGGTTGCAAGAGGAATTTTATTCTAGGAAAGCTTACACAAAATAATGACGTATGAGCATGGACTTGAAAACTAAAGAAAGAGAAAGAGAAAAAACTATTTTCACCAGAATTCACAGCATGAACAAAGACACGAAGCAAAATCTTCCTCACGTTTTTGAGGGAAAAAATGATAAATGAGTCTGATAAATGAGACAGTAGCGGGTGGTTGGTGGCTTGGTCATGACAGACCTTGTTTATAGGACTGAGTTAAAACTTTTCTAGTTTTTGGAAGTCAGGAAGTACCTCATTCTATTTCTGATAGTTCCAAAGAAATTTCTAAAATATCTGCCATATAAAAGTAAGCAGATAACATGGGAATCTGTCCATACCTGGATATTGCAAGTTAATTTTCAGAAAGTGTGTCCTAGAAGTGTAAGCCTGAGAGATACTTTCAAACCTAAGCATACTCAGCATTTGGTGGATACCCTCTGTTTCTACCCAGTGAAAATAAGATTTTTGAGGCTTTTTTCCAAATTTATAGGGAAGGTAATTAAATTTTTTTTTCCATATGGCACTGGCAAGAGGATGGAATTAAGACTAATGGAAGCACATTAAGATTTTTACTCAATCCAAATGCTCCAAGAATTAAATTTCCATCTGAATCATGGTCTGGTCTGGGTAGTAGTAGTAAGGATTCCATCCCAAAAGGTGGACAAATGGGAGATGAAATTACACTTTTCAAAAATATTTTATGGAAATTCGTGTGTCAGATCATGAGTTGAATGAGATGACCTTCTAAATTCTTTCCAATGCTGGTATTAGAAAATACCATTTATATACCATTTATATGTATATATATAGAGTATTTATAATACCATTTATGTACCATGAATATGTATTTATATAACATCAAAGTCTATTCAAGTCATCAAGTAGTTTAAAACACCAATATCAGGTGCTGAAAACAAAAAGATAAATATGACACAGGCTGGCATTAAAACATAATGCTTAAAGCCTATCATGTTATCTCTGCTTTTCACACATATAAGTCAGGTTCATGGCCCAGCTGCCTGGCTTACCTGGCTATTTGCAGGATGATAGATCACTGTGATCACCACGTAGAAATCAATTGTTTTTTTGTTTGCTCCATTGATAGCTCCAAGATACACAGTGGAATTAGCATGTGGTTTTGGAGCCACAGTCCTGCTGGTAGTGATTCTCATTGTTGTTTACCACGTTTACTGGCTGGAGATGGTCTTATTTTACCGGGCTCATTTTGGAACAGATGAAACCATTTTAGGTGAGTAACAAAAGCTTGATCTAAATACCTTCTTCTACTGTCATTTTCAGAAAACATGTTGCCTTGATAAAAGCTAGAATAACTGGGAGATTTAATCAAACTATCTTTGGTTTCAGCCCTTACTATTAAAAATTCTTCTAATGTATATTATTTTGCTTTCTTGGTTCAATATTTGTTTAGTCTAGATTAGCCTGTCCAAATAGCAACATACTGCAAGCCACATATGTAATTTAAAATTTTCTAGTGGTCATAGTAGGAAAAGTAAAAACAAAGTGAAATTTACTTTAATCATATATCTTATTTAACCCAATGTATTTGACATATTATGATCTTAGCAAATCATGCATATTTAAAAGGTAATGGCGATATTTTAGTCTTATTTTTTGGTATTCAAAATCTCACAATTTAGCCTGTGTTGTATTTTAAACTGAAAGCACATCTCCATTCAGACCAGTTGCATTGCAAGCGTCCGAGTGCTACGTGTACCTGTGTTTGCTGTAACTAGACAGTGCAGGCCCGCACTCTTTGTACTTAAAGAGTGGTCCAGGCACCAGCAACGTCGGCATCACATGGGAGCTTGTTAAGAGGAGAATCTTAAGCCTAATGCCTGTGTTCTGAGTCAGGAATCTACATTTTGACATGATTCCCAAGTGATTAAAGGGTACATTGAAGTTTTGGAAGCACGGTACGAGTGTAAATTTGCCTGGTGACAAGAAAGGAACAATTAAACATACTGATTCTTAGACTCCTCCCGTAAAGATTACCAGCCCGTCGGTTTGTGGAAGAGACAACCTATATTTTTACTGAGAGTGATGTTTATAATTAGGCACCTTTGGGAAAGATGGGTTTATGGAATCTGAGTATATTTTTAATTGCAGTTATTTTCAGGTATAAATAATTTAGAGCCTTTCTAAAAGTTTTTCTCCATTTATAATTCTAATGTATTAGTAGTGACAAACTAGGGCGGGAACCATAAATTCTCTGTGTGGTATTAATTGCCAACACCTATGATTGACTATTTTGTCCTGATTATGTTAATTCATAGTTGAATGAGCCAAACCTCATTTATTCTCCACTATAAAAACAAAACATAGTGATATGAGAGTAGAAGACATATCAGATAAAATTTGCAATTACACCTTAAAATAGTCATTTTGCCTGGAGACCTGTCACAAGTGGGAAACCCCACTGAAATCTGTCAGATAATTCATACAAGTAAGAAAGTTGAAAATGTCTAACACGCACAAGTTCGATTTAAGAAAAAATGCAGTACAATTAGGAAACTTTTCTAATATATATTGGATCTCTCTTCCTTTTGTTAGATGGGAAGGAATATGATATTTATGTATCTTATGCAAGGAATGCTGAGGAAGAAGAGTTTGTGTTACTGACCCTCCGTGGTGTCTTGGAGAATGAATTTGGATACAAGCTGTGCATCTTTGATCGTGACAGTCTACCTGGGGGAAGTAGGTATTTCTCATGAGTACAGGTGATGCCATCCTTCATGCAAAGGGAATCCTTAGTTTGGGGTCATGTGTGAGAGTCATGGTGGGGTTCTGTGTTGGCATCATTGGATACTGAATGTTCAGATGTTTGATGTAATGGAGACTTCTTTAGGAATCAAATTACCTTGTGCGTTATAGATCATTGAGATGCCATTTATGGTACTAGAATAGCTCCCCTTGTAAGCCTTAAGAACTCTAAGTCAGAAAAGTGTGGGTGCACAGTGGATTAAGACTCTATAAAATGCCTCAGTTTTAAATGTTCTGCTTACACACATTTAGATTTTTAGAAAGTTTAAGCTAACCTGCATTAATTTCCCTTGTTTTTTTTTTGGGGGGGGGGCGCAAACATTGAGTTTAAACAACACCTATACAAAGACTGAGTTTTACTTGCTTTTTACTAAGAATGAGTTTGTGAAGAGAATGCATGGCATCTTTCTTAATAGTACTCACTGATAATAATTAGATTATTTCCCTGTGGCATTTGCTAATTTCCTTTTCCTCACTTTTATTTTCTAGCAAGCCAATGCTATTTAAATCCCCCCTTTTCTTGGGTCTGTTTCTTCCTTTCTACCAGCTCATACATTTGAGATGTAGTTTAAAATTTTAAAAAGGCCATTCCTATACTCACTGTTAAACTTCGTGCTGTTGAAATATATGTAATGTGTTTAATCCTCAGCAAAACAAACTAATTTTCCTCCCCTCCAATCCTTTTTGTGTTCATCATTTTGGATGTTTTAAAAGTGTTATATGGATAATGGAGATATAAAATAGACTTAAATGTTTATTCTCATTCCGAATTAGCCAGACCACTTATTCTATCTCCTCAGCCATGATCTAGAAGTCCATCATGTTAGTGTTCTACAGTGGCTGTCTCTCTCAGTATTATTTTGCCCAGAAATGGTGACACGATTATACAAGTTAAGGGACAAATTCCATTCCCTTTAAGACTTAAAATCCTAAGTCACTTATTCACCCATTTACTCATTCATTCTGCCATTCAACAAATACTTAGTACAGTGTGAAATTTATATAAAGACAAACAGTATAACAACAATGACCCTCCAAGAGGGGTTGATAATTCTTTGAAGAATTCAAGTTCTACGTAATTACTCTTGCATCTTGTTTCCGATGGTGGATCCTTGTGATCTGCCTTCTCTCTGCTGCTCTTTGTCCTCTCTGCCTCTGGGTCTCTTTCCATGTTCACACGTGGTCTGCCTCCAGCAGTACTGCATGGAGCAGGTAATTACTGATTCCTGGATTCTCCTCCAGGCTGCACATGGAATTTTAATTGCAAGTCTTCCCCCTTTGCCTCTGTACCTGTGAAGATGAAGGAGCAGAATGACTGCTTTGAGGAGTACTGTAAGCCATGAAATAGCTTTCACAGCACTAATGCATTCCCTGGAATTGGCTTCTATTGGAATCCCAGGTAAAGGATTATACCATCCTGGATAAGCAGCCCTGAGGAGATGGATTATTTCCAAGAATTTGGTGATGGGAACTAACCAGAGCCCATGACAACAGAATAAAATTACACTGAATTTCCTTTTTCTCTGTTTCTTCTTCTTCTTTTCTGACCTGAGGAAAGCATTTGCCTGTTAGTGAAGGCAGACACATCAGCTAGCAGCCTACTGAAACACGTGTCTTCATAGTAATGAGAGGAGTTTAAGGAGAAAGATGTAGGGACTAATTTAGGCTCTAGAACAGAGAGCAGAATAGAAAGCTGAGCTGAGAATGTGATGCCAGCCAAAATGCCATTCAGGTGGCTAGATTTTTTTTAAGTTCCTATTCTAAGGACATAGTGATACCAGTCTGAGTCAGGTAGGAGTCTGGCAGCAGAGAGGGACTTTCACAAAATGAATGTTCCTACTCTTGCTTTCCTCTGTTAGTGAGAAATGAATTTCCATGATTTTGCCTCTATAATGATTATATTTTTGAATAGCCACTGACATGAGAGAGTAAATACATGGGTATTTTGCGGGGAGAAGGGGCTCAAGAGCTGATTTGGCTGGGCTGCAGCGTGCCATGTGGTTTGAGGAAATTGATAGCAGTACAACCCATCTATTTCTCATAATGCTTTTGAAGACCAGGGTTATAGAAGTATACTTGGCTTCATGCCTGTTTGGAATTTTTTGGGGGGTGAAATATGTGCATATAGTTTTCAGTATCTTGGAGGAGTGTGGCATTTATTTGACAGAGTGAGTGGGTCGAAGGATTACATCGTTGCAAATGTTCTTGGTAAAAGTTTCATCCCAATTCCCAGGCCATTACCCTAAGTTTCCTACACTTCCCTACACTACACTCAAGCCCCAGGCTTTTGGGGAGTTCTTGGCCAACACTAATCCCCACGGTGTTTTCTTTCTCAGTTGTCACAGATGAGACCTTGAGCTTCATTCAGAAAAGCAGACGCCTCCTGGTTGTCCTAAGCCCCAACTACGTGCTCCAGGGAACCCAAGCTCTTCTGGAGCTCAAGGCTGGCCTAGAAAACATGGCCTCTCGGGGCAACATCAACGTCATTTTAGTACAGTACAAGGCGGTGAAGGAGACGAAGGTGAAAGAGCTGAAGAGGGCTAAGACGGTGCTCACGGTCATTAAATGGAAAGGGGAGAAATCCAAGTACCCACAGGGCAGGTTCTGGAAGCAGCTGCAGGTGGCCATGCCAGTGAAGAAAAGTTCCAGGTGGTCTAGGAGTGGCGAGCAGGGTCTCTCCTATTCATCCTTGAAAAATGTATGAAAGGGACAATGAAATGGGTAAAAAGAACCAAGGGCACTCTGGGAAGGAAGAGTTCCCTTTCTTTACTCCCAACTTGATGTTTCACAGACAGAACAGAATTCTGTCAAAGCCTCCCCATAGGGACACATTCAGGGTGACTATATGACTGGTCGTTCTACTTCCTCAGGCAATGCTATGGTTTAGAATGGCCGCGCCACCAGTCCATCACCAGCAAATGACGTCACTATGTTCTTCGCAGGCAAAGACTTGGTTGATGCGAAAATTTCCTCTTTCTGCATCCTTTGCCCCTGTTCCCACATCTCTATCCCCTCTTTCTCTCTCATTGTTTATAATCTTAACATTGTGGGGCAGTCTTTTGCTGTGGATTTCAAGACCCCTTAAAGATAACTTACCTTTTGACAAGGTCATTATGGGTTTCCGAGTCATTAAAAAGATGATCGGTGCCCAAATTCATTTGAGCTGATGACAATGAGCTCTTCTGCTCATTCTGCTGGGCACTGCCCTTTTGCAGCCAGACTGACACCCACATAGGACGGTACGAAGCGGTGTAACTGAAAGTGTTCCTTATGATGGTTTGAAAGGGGTTACCTGCATTTTCTCCTACCAAATCCCTTGTGCCCTCCATCTCGGTCATCGATGTCTCATTTGTCAACTTGAAAAACATACCATATTTTTCTTTATTTCAGTAAACTCCTGGATATCTGTAGATCGACCCATACTTGTCACTTCATCTTCCCTATCTACTGTACCTTGTATCAACCATTTAGAGTTTGCAGATGGCTCTACACTTGGTTCAGTCTGACAGGAAGCTTCTAATGGTGCTAAGAGAGAGTGAAATAACAGCAAAATGCTTTTAGGACATTTTCTGGCTTGTGAGAAAATCACAGAACAGGGCGTTCAGCAATTTGTCTTTTCATCTCAGCCTTGCTAATGTGAATATTAGAAAAGTGATTTCTCCTCACGTGTTCTGTCTCTCCACTGTAAAATGTGGAAGTTAGACTCAGTGACCTTGCAAGTTGCTTTTAGCATTAATACTCTAAGAGAATTAACTGGACCATCCAGTATTTTCCATATTTTATTCACTGGTACAGTTAATACACTCAGTCCAAACATGTCAGTCTGGAAAGTCTCTTCCATGAAACTTGTTTTACTTTAAGTAAAATCTTAAGACTTGGAAAAGTGAAAACTAAGTCCAGAGTTTACAGAGTGGTGAATACCTGCGGTGTACACACACACACACACACACACACATACATACACACGTATGTGTATGCACATGCCCACGAATCATGTATGTATAGATCAACATTATATGTAGATATATACACATGTTGATTTTATATGTGTGTATATATGTATGTATGCATTTGTGTGTGTGTGTATATATATATGCACACACCCTTATGTATACACACATGTGACTTTGAATAGCTATTGGCACAATATTACAAACCACTGGGACTCTCATCCAGTTTTTAAGTTATGTTTTTACTGTAATTCTTTTGTGTTTCCTGTACATTATTTGTAAAATCACAACTCACAGAGTAGTCGTCGTTAGTTCTCACCTTCCCTAAATTAGTAGGAATAACTTACTGCTGCTACATTTGGTCTGGGTGCAGTGGAATCTGTTGGACACAGAGCTTCTGTGGTAACTGCTGAGCAGTACCAGTCCCCTGGCATTAATTGATCATCTACTATGTTGCAAGCATACATTCTTAGAAACTAAACTATGGTAATCTCAGTGTTCAACTACTAGGGAGATAAATCTCTATTTGGACTGTTAAGTAGTGGAGAAAAGGAAAATAAAATACTTATAAATAAGGCTGAGCATCCTGTGAAACACCATAATTCATAATTTAAAGGAACCCTTATCCCAGCATTATGAATGTTGATAACCAATTCTAAAACTATCTCCTGCATTTAAGTGTCCTTCATCAGTGTTAAAGCCCATAATAAATCATTTCTCTATAGTGAAGATACCATGTTAAATTGAAGAAAAGAAAAACTTCATGAATTCCTGACTGTAAAACTATGGTATGGAATCATTCTTGGATTTTTTTTTTTTTTTTTTGGTCTTACTAATGCTTTTCTTTGCTACAAACCACAATTACTCCTCCTGTTAACTCTTCATCCTCAAGACCAGAGGAAGGCTGACTCCAGATAAGCTTTGAATATCAATTGCATGAGCTTTAGGTAATGGGGAACTGTCCCATCACAAGGGGGACATTCTCTTGCCATTGCTGCATTCTTTTGCACTTTTGGATTTGATATTTATCCCAAATGCTTTTGGGTACCCCTAGAAACTTCTTGATATTCCTTTTCTTATTTATCTACTGATCTTTGACATTGAACTTTTCCAAATGCTAAAATCTAAACATCTCACTTCTAAATGATACATTTTGTCTCATTCTTAGAGAATTTTGTTTCGAGGGTTTTTTGTTTGTTCTCATTCTTAAGATAATTTTGTTTCAAGGTTTTTCTGTTTGTTTTAAGTCCCAGAAGATACCTGTTACAAAATTTCTGAGGGAGATGAGGAAATATAATTTTGAGAGCAAGGAAAAATTGCTACATAATATAAAAAAAAAAACTATCTCTAATGCTCAAGAAAACCTTAATGGTTCCAGGTATATGATATAAAGATCTTCTGCACCCAAGTTAACAAAGAACCATGACATATAAAGTGTCTAATTACATGATCATATAAAATTTATTTAATTATCTTTTATGTTGTAACTTAGGCAATTCCCTAGGATTCTAATAAACGAGCATTCCATTGTATGGGGAAACAAAAGCATCACTCCACTTGCTAATTATCCATTTATTTGCATAGGTTTTAATATTTTAAGATTATCTTATTATCTTTTTTATTTTATTCATAAACTTTTGTATTTTCCATTTTCCATTTGATTTGTAAATTTGTTTATTTTAAAAATAAACCATTTATTTTCAGATTTGAATTTTATTTTGTGCATGTGTTTTATGTCTTTATTTTCATGTTTGGGCATAAGAAATGAGAATAAGAAGAATTAATGATACACATAAAAAGAAATGTTAGAAGCTACATTAGTTAAATTTCTCTTTCTGACAGAAATCTGAGAAAAATGGGAATTTTATATCAAGAACATTTTTTACATGTGAATAAAAGAGTTATTTAAATAAAATGAATTGTTCTAGTGTGCCAGGTGTGTGTGTGTGTGTGTGCATGTATGCCTGTGCATGTATGTGTATGTGTGTGTTTGTGTGTGTATGGAGACAGAGGACGAATAACATACAGCTAAAAGAGAGCAATGGGTTAGGAGATTAAATGTTGCAGTAGTATTTTTTATTCACATGTATTTTAAAGTAAATAGAATTTTTAAAATTTATTATTCACTTATAAATCCACTTATAAATCCATATTAAGGTGATTCTTTAAAGTTACCATGAAGAATTGATTCAAATTCAATTAACATTAGCCCTACATTAGTTTAATATTGTGTTCACTAGATTTAACCAAAGTGATTAATTCAAATGTCTACGATCTGTAGACATTTACATATTGGTATTTTTAATTTTTAACCATCCTGTAAGTTTACTCTTATTGTATGCATTTTATGGATGGATGATTTGCTGCCCTTGCATACATCAGTAACCTACCAGAGAACAAAACTACAGTCCTAGTTTTCCTCTAGGTGAGTTCCAGGGAGATTATGACTTAAAGGCAGGAGTATTCTAGAGCATTGATGAATTCTAGATCAGAAAACATGACTTCAAAATTAATTTAGTGCCACACAAGACATCTGGTTTCATCAGTCTATAACCACACCTTACTTTTTTGAACCCAACAGAATAAATGACCCAGTTTATGACTCCCTCTCCAAATAATCTTCAGTATTGAAACATAACAATTCACATTCTCAACTGTAGTTTTACAATATGAAAAGTATTAAAATATGCCATAAAGGAGGCAGCTTCCTTCAAAATAATGTGTGAAGATCCCTAGGAATAGCCCATTCCCCCAAATGATAAGCATCTTCTCCATTACATTCCTCAATGTTACTGAATTCCACTACTCATATCTGTTTCTTTAGCATTGCCCTATTTCAAATGTAAATTTTACATTTTCAGGATGGGGTGCCAATAATTAGAAAAATACACACAGAGTCTTTCTTTAGAGGATCTAGGACAGCATTTTATTTTCAACAGTGATATCCCCATTGGACAGAATATACATTGTCTTAATGTGACTATTTTGAAGTAAAATGCACAATACACACACATGAACACACATACAATTTGAGTGCACAAAGTTCCTTTTGGTGAAACCCATCCATGCTGCCTTAAGGTTATATCGTATTGCTCATGAGACAGGAGGAGCAGCAGATATTCTACTTGTACATTCTCAGGTTTATGAAAGGCAGGTACAAAAGTTCTCAGTAGGACTGGGACAAAGAATTGTCCAACACACACACAAGCACACACACATGTGCATGTGCACACACACACAGGCTTTGAAGATAAATAAAACTTTAGATTTATCTTTTAAGATCAAAGTAAAAATTCTCTAAAACTACTTCACACTCTTGACAAAACTAGTTAAAGGATCCTCAAAATTGAGCACATGTCTCTTCCAATTACCCTTCAAATTTATGTTAAATTTACTAATTGGAAAGAACTAATCTGGCAAGGAGCACAGCTCTTTTACTCTCTCAAATTCATAACGATCAAAATTCACTGCAAACTTTCAGCTTGTCTTCACAGACTAGAAGGTCTCTCCATCACTGTTTCATCACTGGCCCCAAAAGAGTAGGTACTCAACCTCATGGTCTGTCTGCATCTGTTTTCAGCATTGTCAATGGCTGATTTACACATTTGGAAATCCTTTCCTTCAGAAAATCACATTATTTAATCCCTTAAATTTCATGATGAGCTAAGAACTACATTTATCTTTGGGACTTTCCATAGGAATCTCTGGCCAAATCCCCCTCAGTACCTATTAAAACTTAGTGCTTTTTCAGAAGTCTTAACTAATTGATACCTGCCCATTGTCTGTTGTTACCCCTTTAATTGATTTTTAATCCCATTTTTCACACTTATACATGAAAAAAGGAGATAGATTTTAGTTGATAACAAGATCAATACTATGAACTATCTGATGTTGTGTCCAAAAATTTTAAGAATCAAAAGATATTAACTATGGTTTTTAGGAGATGGTAATTCCCTATTGCTCTTTGCTGATCAGACTATGTCTGGAGCATTGTGTTGAGGCCAGTTCAAGGTATTACTCTCAGGAAATACTATATAAATTGAATGTTACTCAGAGGAAAATGATAAAAGTGGGGGAAGAGATTTGATGCCATGTCTTATGGGGAATAAGATAAAAATTCTAAAGTTTATCCTAATCTAAAAATGAGAAGAAAATACAGTGAGGTAAAAATAGTTGTGAAATATTTTAAACATGTGAAAATATCAGATCTAATACCACCAGGTAAAATTGGCAGGGGAGAATATTTCAAAAAAATAATTTACAAACAGGTGAAATTAACTGATTTTAGAGGTGGTATATTCCTCATCCATGAAGGTAGCAGAGACTTGGCAATCATTAATAAGAGTGATGTTTAAGTGAGATTCATTAACTGGGTAGATTACTTAATACTGAGATCCTATATTCTTAAGTGTTTACTTATTGCTTCTTTGTAGGATGGACAATGATGAACTACAGCTTATGTAAAGTTTCACTAGGCATTGTCCTATCTTTCCATTTTCCTATAGATACAGTGGAAGCAGTCTTTGACTTCATTCAGAGAAGCCGAAGGATGATTGTTGTCCTGAGCCCAGACTATGTGACAGAAAAAAGCATCAGCATGCTGGAGTTTAAACTGGGTGTCATGTGCCAGAACTCTATTTCCACCAAGCTTATTGTGGTTGAGTACCGTCCCCTTGAGCACCCACACCCAAGCATCCTGCAGCTGAAGGAATCTGTGTCTTTTGTGAGCTGGAAGGGAGAAAAGTCCAAACATTCTGGCTCTAAATTCTGGAAGGCCTTGCGGTTGGCACTTCCCCTGAGAAGTCTGAGTGCCAGCTCTGGCTGGAATGAAAGCTGTTCTTCCCAGTCTGACATCAGTCTGGACCATGTTCAAAGGAGGAGAAGTCGTTTGAAAGAGCCCCCAGAACTCCAGGGCTCAGGGAGAGCATCAGGCACCTCTCCAGCCCCAGACATGATGTCCAAGCACAGAGGGAAGTCCTCTGCAGCCTGTCGCTGCTGTGTCACCTACTGTGAAGGAGAGAGTCACCTTAGGAGCAAGAGCCGGGCAGAGATACATACCCAGCCCCAGTGGGAGACACACCTCTGTAAGCCTGTTCCCCAAGAATCAGAAACTCAATGGATACAAAATGGCACCAGATTGGAGCCCCCTGCTTCCCAGATCTCAGCCCTTGCTCTTCACCATTTTACGGATTTATCCAATAACAATGACTTCTATATCTTATAATTACTCTGTGGTGGGTGGTGGCTGTTATCTATCTATACCAGCCCTCCTTGTGTTATGAACCTATGGGAGTAATTGACATTTTTATCATCTAATGGACTACCAGACTGTGTCCCCTTTATTGATTTTTAAAAACTATTTATTTCTAGGAGACAAAAGACCTGAGGACCCGAATCCAGAATTATTGCCTCTAATGGCCTCAGAAGAGCACACTCTTCTTGGGCCCTAGAAGGTCAGTATGTGAAAGTTGCCTAAAGTCTGATCCTCTATCTTGCCCAATGGTTTCAAACTGAGCAAAGAATTTAAATATGTTTCCTTTGAGTTTGTTGATTAATGTCATATTATGAGTCAGTCAGGTGTACTTGGGCTATGACAATTACAGGGTATGTGTATCCCAAGAGAGCATTGTGGAAATGAGTTGATTGTGGTGGAAGCTGTAGGAATAAGTTCTACTAAAACCCTACAGCACATTTTTCTTGGAAGAACCAAACACACACACACAGATACATGGTGTTCTGTCTTACTGTAAACTAGTGTCCTCTAAACTGCCTAAAGTTGTTAGCATCAATAAAGTTATATTTTTATGTGATTTTATTTGTACTAACAAATTTTTACCTCTCCCTCCCTTCTTTTTATGGCTCTTGAATTCATATCAGAAGAGTATTCCATTTCAGGAAATCAAGACTTGGTTTAGGTACTAGGAAAGTTTAAGGTGTCTCCTTAGTTTCTTTCTAATGTGTGTCTGAGGGGAAATTGGGGAAAGGACAGAAAGAAAGAGAAAATGTTTCAAATGCAATGGAAGTTTACACAAAAAGTCTCCTATTTTTAGAACTGAGAGCTGAAAAATTCAGTATTATTAGGGATTCAGTGTAACATTTGGTGTATGTAACCCTTCTTCACATTCAAGGTTCTGAGAAGAGATAGTCAGTCCAAGTACCTACAAGAATCAGAAAGTAAGAAAAAAGAGAAAAGGGGGCTAGAAATAAGCATAATACACATGCTGTCCATCTAAGACCCATATGTATAGAGATAGGTATAGGTACATATTTCTTTACTTGAAACATCTTAACACAGTCATAAAAGGCACATGGCATTTGATCTGCCAGTGAGGGAGATAATAGAGATGATTGGACCTGTGGGTAATTGAAGAATATTCCTTAAAAAGGGAGCAACCTCTACTCAGTTCCATCATGATAGTTTTCACTCAGTCCTATTGTTGGCAGATTGTCCAGTTTTTCGAAAAAAATCTAAAAATTAAGGTTTGTAAGTAGTCTCTCAATTATGGGATGTCTTAACCTTAAAACAAAAGAAAAAAACCCCAACCAAATCACATGAACATGTAGTCATCCTGAGGGCCACCAGTTTGTAATTTTGGAGCTAAAGTATTTACCCAAAGAGTATATATCTGAGTGGGAATTCAAGCGTCCTTGGCAATACAGAGACTAGAGAACACAGATAGGACCTAAGGACATAATGGGAGACTTCTATTCCCTTCCCAAATCAAAAACATCTGAATCATCAAAAATAAGGCTGAACTGACCTACCACTTCACCAGAGGAGAAAAAATCTGGAAAATAGTGTGCCCTCCATCTTCTCTGATAGAAGAGTGCGGGTCCCCTGAGTGGTGAGGTTGCTATAAGAAAATTAGAAGCACGATCTGCTTCCCCTGAATAGGAGCAGGATGAAAAGAGCAAAGTACCATACCAGACATGAGCAGTCACCTTCAATACGTTAGTGCTGGCTGCTAGTAACCTGTGGCCCAATGAATGTCAACATTTTTCAGTCACTAATAGTGAAGGATGGGTGGAGAAAGAAGCCAGACATTCCGTTCCACTACTCCACGTGGAAAGAAAAGCAGAAAGTCCCTTCTCTGTTGAAACAAACTATTATACCCCTTTCCTCTTGAAAGAAAAAGAGGTGGGAATAAGGACACCCCAGAGTAAATGTGACTCATCATGGAACTTGTAATTAGGAAATGATAGGACACCCTACCTAAATATCTTGTAGAAAACAATTGAGCACAATCCATATTCTATATTGCATTTCTTTATGAAGAGATTAATCCATCCTTGATGTGTGTTCAAGGATCTTCACTTGGAAGAGAGACAGCAGTTGTCTCCCAATCTATTAAAATGGAGTAATGTATGTTGCTCCAAATCCTAAAAAGGGAGAGAGTTTTTTTACCCATAATCAGTCTTATTCTATATGAGCTCAGTGTCCCAGCTACAAAATATCTTTGGAAAAATTGAGAATTACTTGTGCCATTTATGAATTATTTTTTGTGTGTGAAAAAAATAAAAGATAAGTGGCAACAGCATGGAAATTAAACATGGGTTCTTATGAATGAGTAGCTAGATAACCGTGTTCTCAAAAGCTAAGTTAGTTTTGGTCAGTATCAATTTCCATTAACAATATAAGGCCAATGTAAGCAGTATAAAGTCATAGCTTTTGGCATTAGCTACCCAGGGGTCAGAAAGATAATGGACCATACTTCTACTGTATGAAGAAAGGCTAGGAGGTTATGTTATTAGTCTCTGACCCAACATTCCATACTTGAGTGTAATATTCATTGCCATATATTTCAATGAGGCAAATGATAAGAAAATTTCCTCAGGGGTCATGCATATTCATAACTAATATGATATGATTGCAGGTTAAATGGATATCATTTACATAGGAATATTGCCTATTTAGGAGCAGGAGTTTTAAGTCAAGTAGAGATGAATGTGAGTATTGCTTCTCTCCTAATTATCTGTTTGACCATGGGCTCTCTGGGCCTCAATCTCCTACAAGTTAAATGGAGATAATATTATTAACCTCACTGGGTTTTGTGGGCAATAAACGATATAATGCATGTAAGTGCATAGCACAGTGCCTGGAATATTATAAGTGCTTTGTAAGTGTTGGCCAGTACTATTCCCATAGTGAAATCATGCTCATGGTTGCATAAACTTACATTTGTATCATGATTTAAGACTCACAAATTGATTTCCTATGTATCACTTTTCTTTCCTTATCTTTCTTTCTTTTTTTTTTTAACTCTCACAAAATTCACAAAAGCAGTACATAGCAGGAATGTATTATCCAGATTAAGTGACTTTCCTAATGACACTCAGCCAGTTAGCAATATGGTTGGGCCTCTGATCTAGGCTTCTGACGCCTGATCCAGTACCAATGCTGGAACTAGTCCTATAAAATTCATGTGGAAGTATTTCTAATTGTAACTATTTAATTTGGACCATTATACATTCAAATCAACAAGTCAATTAATGTAAACCTACAAGCAGCTAATTAAATGTCATATCAAGTGTCTGATGTGTCATCTGGCCTTGTCATATTATGATTTTATATAATTCATTTTTAATATTATAACATTTATTTAAGAATTTTAAAAGTAGAACAATTTTTTTGTGTGTCTTCCAGACTTTATGATCAGGTTATAATTTTTCTCTCAAAATAAATTATTTGTATTTGTCTTAATGGAAAATAAAAATGTACACACAATTTACCTTGAAAAACAAATTTAATCTTTCAGCAGTGATGATTTACACTGTGAGTTCTAGTCACCATCTCTTATAACCAGTAAAATCTTGAATAATGTGTTCACTTCCACTTTGAAAAGTTGAAATGGTCGGTAAAACTAGTAAGTGTGAAACTGCCATCATAATAAATTGGCCTAGTTATAAAGATATAAGAACACGGAAGGACAATCAATCCCAACAGCAATGGTTTAAAAATTTTTGTGTCTAAAAATTTGGGGGGCATCTTACAGCAGAGATCCTGGGACAAGTTCCTCCCCCAGGGGAGCTGGTTTAATGGGCACTGAACATTGTCTAGGAGTCTGCTTTTTTATACTGTGTCCTGGATAATTCAGATAAGGTATTCCATGGGTCAACTACTACTTACAAGAATTCTTTAAACCCTTCCCATATTTTTTATATTATTATTCAGGTTTAAGAGGAGAAAAGCTTTATTAGAGTCTGGTCCAGGGCTTCTCAAAATGTGTTCTTTGATGCATCCATATTGGAACCACTTTGAGTTCATGTTAAAATGCATATTTCTTGACCCATCCAAGAATAAATAAAAGATCTCTAGAGTGGGGAAGATTTGCACTTGGAACAAACTTTCTGGGTGATTCTGATGCACAAAAAGTTCAAGAACCATTAATTTTATTTCTCTTTAACTCCTCTTTTACCCTTGTAGGCTCTGATTTTCTCCAGCCAAGAAGGACTACAAATCATCCTTTTAACAAGGTGTTTGCAGGCAATAGATGAAAATACTAAGGCATGCTTAGCCCTTGAGTTGCCTTGGCACAGGAGACAATTAAGTAGAGGAGTGGTTGATACAGTGTATTTCTAATATATGAAGCATCAAATACTGACATTTGAAATCTGGTATGATTGCTGTAGTCATCACATGTATTAATCAGATTCAGATAAGGTATGCTAAGTAACCCCAACACTTTAGTAGGTTTACATAACAAGACCTATTTCTTGTTTATGCTGTATGTCCAGATAGGGGCTTACATTTTTGTAGTTTTGCCATCTGAAATGTGTAGCTCCCTGCTATTCTACTTCAGCCTAAATATGACACCACTCTCACTTACAATCCATTGGTCAAAACTAGCTGTGGCATAGATCTAGTCATAGGGAAGGCTGGCAAATGCATTCTTCCTGTGTTCCTGGGAAGAGAAAAATGAAATGGAACTTGGTGAACACATAGCATTGTCTTTGCCTAAGAATGAGATACTGAGATTGCCTGAAGAGGCAAGAGAACTACAACTGGAGTTATGTTACATACTTTGATAATGAAGAAACGGAATGATTCCTGCCAACACCCCACCACCACTTGCCAAGGTGTCAAGTCAGGTACTTATTTTAAAAATGTATAGAAATGAACAAGGCTTGTCCTTTAGGAAAATTGTTGAAGTCATACATAATAATTACAGCTCCTGGCTAAAGAAAATGTTCTTAAAAACTGGTAAGTTTCTGTGTTTGGTTAATTTCCATTCAGTGGCTTTAGGTAGTTCTCTAAGAATGTGGTGCTCAAACCATCTGTCAATGAGCCATTTCATTTTTGAATATCCAGGGAACCTCAGAAGGATTGAAGACATTTAGAACACAGCAGAGCATGTAACACGGTTATTAGAAAGCCTCCCTTGATATATTTATCTGAAGAGCTAAATGGGGAATTTGAACTGAACATGCTAGAGCCCAGATGAAGGAAGAGACAAATGCTGCTGTGGGTATTATGAAGTCGGCTGCTATCTATGCATCTGCTCTCTCTACAATTTGGATTCTCTCTATTAAAGATTTGCATTTTTATGACTTGTCTAATGTTGTGCAGTATCATTTGGTCATGACGAAATCTCTCTTTGGTTTGGTGAAGATCAGGGCTGAAGGTGCCTTGTTCCATACTAACAAGTTATGATGCTGAACAGAGAAAAAGTTGGATTGTTTAGTTTGGTGAGGAGATTATTGACAATCAAAATTCTCTAGAGAGTAATTTATGAAGTTTTTCTCTTGGATAATACAAAACACTAATAAATATTTACATGGAAAAAAATGGTGCTTTGAAATGGGTTCATAGAAAGAAAGCAGAAAGATTCCAAATCTGAACTCAGATCATGAACTATTTTTATTCTACTTTAGGTGATGGAAATTTTAATACTCTATTGCTTTAGTGGAAAAAAAAGAAACAAAATAAGATCAAAGCTGTTATGTGTTTATTTTTCATTTAAGACACAAAGCCATACATAATAACTTATTACTTTTCTATTGCCAGAAACTATGCTACATGCTTGCAGTGAGCTTATATTTCAATACCATGCTTCAAAATACTGGAGGCAAATGGTTCTTTTTTTTTTAAAAAAATGCACGTATTAGGGGCCTACTTCAGACCACTAAACTCCCCAAGTTATTTAGATGTACACTCTTGTAAAGAATAACTGACTTAAGTACCTTTACAATATTTGTAAATATTCCCCTGAAAAATCAGTGATGACATATTATAAATTTGGAGAAAAAAGAGTTAAAAGCAAATCCTGATCTTTTAGACAATATTTTGTTAAAGAGCAAACCTTAAAACTTACTGCCAAATTCTGGAATTTGAGTCCTTTATTTTCATATCTTGCCTTGAAATTGCATAAAGTAGGAGAAAAACAAAATGCAGAAAACAAAATTATAGAAATAATCAATGTAGTTAATCAACCAGAGAGCCAAAGAAGGCTAGAATGCTAGTATTTATTATATCTATGTCATTGGTCATCTACAATAGACAAAATATTCAAGGCGTAACAACTTGGCTATTAACAAAGACCATTAAATGACTTCTTAGAAGAACCAAAAGAAAAAAAGTGTGAATAAGTGAACCCACTCACTCCTTTACAAACCTTAGTACTATAACATAAAAGAAACACCCAGAACAATTCCCAGAGCTAAAATGTGGAGTAAGTGCCAGCGTTTGGGGAATAAAACTTAAATGGTCACTTCTATAAATAAGGGCTTTTGATATAATGGGATCAGGAGACCTGAACTGGAGTGTCAGTTCTCTTTATGGTGTGACTTTCAGACACTGTTGCTCTTAAATTTTTAATTTCCCCACATATTATATGGGTATAACATAATATCTACTTCATTAGACTGTTGTAAGGGTAAAATAATAAATGTGAACCTCTAACATCTCTAAATTATATGCTTGGTAGTGATATTATTATTATTATGACATTATAAATGAAACCTGTGGAAAAGAAAGAGGTTCAAGAGAAAGTTCCTAAACCTGCTGAATATTAGGGAATGGTCCAGAGCACATAGTCTAACTGTAATCCTTCATCACATAAAAATTAAAGAATAAACACTACAATTTCATATGACTCTAAATGTTGAAGACTACAAAAAAAATCACAGACTCTGAAAAAGTAAATTTAAAAAAAAAATGCATTTGTTTTGTACTACCATATAACCAACTTCCTAATACCAACTTAAAATAACACATATTGATTATCTCACATTTTCCATGGGTCTGGGTCAGGAATTTGGGAGAGGCTTAACTGGGCATTTCTCACTCAGAGTTTCTTACTCACTCACTCGTGAGGTTGCTGTCAAACTGTTAACCAGTGCAACGTCTCTCTGAGCACCACCGGAACTGGAAGATCCATATCCAAATGCAGGCACACAAGTTTTGGTCAGAAGCCTAAGTGCCTATGCACCTCTATAGCCTGGTTGAACATCCTAGTGGCACATAGTTGGCTCATCCTAGAGCAGGAGATTCCAAAGAGAGAGAGCAAATAGGAAACCACAGTGCCTTCACGACCCAGTCACCAAAGAGACATATTATCACTTTTGCAATATTCTGTTGACTAGAAATGAGTCCCTAAGTCCCTTCCAAATTCAAGAGGAAGGGAATTCAGCTCTAGCTTTTGAAGGAGTATCAAAAAATTGGGGGACATCTTTTAGAGCCAGAACTATAACATAGACAACAATTTTTCAACCGAATAAATTCAAGTCCAGAAAAGGAAAATGACTTGTCCTCATGCTTCCTAACTTTGTCCCTAACATAGTTAACTAACTAGATGTAGAGGTGCCACAACTCAAATGAGAACTGTCTTGTTCTAGCTAGGACATTTCTTTTTCCTGGTGGAAGATGAAGAATGGGGAAGAATTCAGTCATCTGTAGTCCTGGTTACCTCTGTCTCTGTTTTCTCCCTGTCTGTCTACTACGCTTCCTTTACCCTTTCTTTCTCCCTTCTTTGTCTCTGTCTCTCTCTCTCTCAAAGTCCTCCTCCATCCACCCTCCCTCCCTTCCTCTCCTTTCCCTCATTTGGAGTTCTAGTCCACAGATAGCAGGCTCTGAGAGTTGGAAGAGGATGAGATAACAAAGTTGATTAGTCACATTCTTTTTCTGGGCTTTGAGTATTGAAACAAATTTTGGACACCTGGGTGGTTCAATGGGTTAAGTCTCTGTCTTCGGCTCCGGTCATGATCTCAGGGTGCTGGGATAGAGTCCCACATTGGGCTTTCTGCTCAACAGGGAGCCTGCACCCCCTCCCTGCTTGCCTCTCTGCCTACTTGTGTGATCTCTCTCTCTATAAAATAAATAAATAAATAAAATCTTAAAAAAAAAAGAAACAACTTTTATTTTAACCTCTAAAGAGATTGAAAGTGACTGTTTATTCCAAAAAGCAGCCACTGAGAGAGGAAAAATGAGGAGGTAATTGCTTTCTCTGAAGTAACCCAACTTCTCATCTTAACTCTGAACAGAAATGGTTATATATATGTAATCAAAGCATTTCTCTTCTGTATCTCAGACTTCTGAGACCCCAAAATGGATGGAATTGGACTAGCAAGTCTGTAGGATGTTATCATTCTATCCTTCTTTGATTCACTGAGTAATGTTTAGATAACCCCCTCTCCTCCTTCCGTATCACACACGCATCAACATCCAAGGTCTAGTGAGATTTAAAAGAATATTTAAAAGGTGCAAGTGCTCTTCTCAAAGAGTCATAAAGAATGCTTCTGTCTGTTTAGACCTAGTTTCTGTAATGCCTTTCTCCCTTGTAAAGCTAAACAGCTAACTTCTGTTCTCCTCCCTTATCTACTGTCCATCATTGTCTGGGGCTCATGGCTATGAGAAGATAGATCAAGTTTACCAGGAGCCTACTGATAGTTCAACTCTGGTGCCTCCAATTTCTCTAAACCAATTTTAATCATAACTTTTAAGGTCACTAGTTTGTAAATGAGACTGAAGAAATATTACCTTTTGTCTTCCTAACAGCTTTATGCCCTTATTTTTTACCCAAGCAAACCTCGAGCAAACTTCTTACTGTGATAAATATCCATATATTTCATGATGCAAAAAACATAAAGGGACCTAATTTTGAAATTACACAGTGTAGAAACAGCAACAGGAATGAGATCTGAGTTCTAATCCAAACTATAATTGTTCTCCCCTCCCCTCCTCCTCCTCCTCCTTCTCCTCTTCCCCCTCCCTCTCCTCCTCCTCCTTCTTCTCCTCCTCCTCTTCCACCTCCTTCTCCTCCCCTACCTCCTCCTCATCCTTCACTTTTTTCTTATTCTTCTTATTCTTCTTCTTGTTTTTGTTATGAAACATTGAGAAAAGCACTAAACTGTGCAGTGTTCTCCCCATCAATACAGTTCAAGGATAACTATGTGTCTTTCCATCTCTGATATTCTATGAATTAGTTTAATAGTAACAAAGCGGTACTTTCCTGCGTATTTCAGGGTATAACCAGGGTTCTTTCCAAGTAATCTGAAGTCAGATGTCTAAGAAATTCGATTCTCCGCAAGCCCATAAAATGCTAGTTAAGTTGCACAAAGTGGAACCAAATCTCAGAGATCTCTCCTCTCCACTCATCCTGCGTCAATTGCTTGCTAAACTGATTCTAATTCCAAAAAGCTTTTCAAAATTCTTCTCTCCTCTTCTCCCCAAGAATTCTATGAATTTAAACTACATATACTCCAAACACTGTTTCCTGAATATGCTCTGTACTTTTATGCTCCATGTGCCTCTGCTAATATTTCTTCTGCATGGAATGCTCACTCTTCTCCCCTGCCCTGTAAGTGCTCTTTCAATGTTTTCAAACCGATGAAACTGACCCAGGCAGCGTTGAATGTTCCTTCCTTTATACTTCTGTTGCTCATAACACTTCTGTTATTGAATTATGAATATCTCTATCTGTCTCACTTGCTGTACTGTAAGCTCCCATGGGCTAATACTATATATTGAATCTCTAATTTGACCACTTAGCATGATGACAAGCACATAACAGTTTTTCCATTCATGTTCCCTTAAATTAAGTATTATGACCACTATCATTGGAAACAAAGTAATAGAGTTTTCCTCTTCCTTTCTTCTATTTCCCCTCCATTATAGCTGCA